ATATGTAAAGTCCTGTATGGAAAGTGAATTTGCTCTGTAATTCTTCACCCAAATCACAATTTTTTTAAAAAAAGAGCATACCCTTGTGTTTGTATCATGGCACAGAGCATTGCTGGGCCTTCTGGCTGGAGTTGCTGGATCAGCAGACATGGATATACAAGATGGGCCTCTCAAAATGGATCAGAGACCTATTATCTATTCATATAATCTGTCCTTGCCCACTAACCACTCATGTTGGATGCAGTTGCATATTGAGTGAACGTAGCCCACCTCTTGTTTATTAGAAAAAATAGCGTAATTCCAAGAGGCTCTCAGAGATAAGGAGTTTCCATTACATGGGAGGGAACCATAGGAAACAGATGCCAGTGGTATATTGCAAACAGTATTGAAGTAGTAGGGGCCCCAAGACTTAAACCACCATATACTTGGGCACCCTCGTGACCCTGTGTGAACTTCTTTCTGGCCAGCACATTCTCACGCACTGGAGCTGGTGTCAGTTTCATTTAGTGCCCTGCCAATTCTCTTCCACTGCATTGCTCACTTTTCCTTGTTGGCATCTGTGGGTCTTTGCTTTGGACAACTGGTGCCCCTATTTTGTTGATGCCCTAAGCACATGCTTACCTTGTTTATTGAGTAATCCATCCCTGGCTCTCAATTATAAAAGTATTAGTTTTAACTTGCTGAATGACCTCTCACAGCTGGTGATGTAAACTGTGATGGCTAATAGAAAGTGCTCAGTGGCGCCTCCCTTCAAGGGGCACCCAGGGCACATACCATACCTGCCATACCTTAGATACACCTCTGCCTATAGTGATCAATTCCTCCTACTTGAAGCTTTCCTTTAGTTTTGACACCACAATCTTTAGATTCTTCTACTTTTCGTACTTCTTGGTTTCATTTGTGAGTTCCTCTTTTTCTACCTATGCCTGAAACGTTTCTCTCCTCCCACTCTTTTCTCCTCCATAGTCTCATGATGAACAAAATAAAAATTTTGTGTGACTTGCCTTACCTCATCCTAACCCTGGCCCTTTTAGATTCTATCTTTAGTGAAAATTTTGATATTTAGTCATTATAGATTATTTGCATTGATTTTGATATTTTTAAAAAGAACCTTGTGTCTTTGGTGAAAGTTTACACAGCAAATTAAGTTCCTATTTGACAGTTTCTTCACAAATTGTTCAGTGACATTTGTTACATTTTCCACAATGTATTCACATTCTTAATTGTGTTCTGGTTGTTTTGTTTACAGTACTGTAGTTTCCCTGTCCCTTTATTTTATTTTATTTATTTTTTTTTTTTGTGATTTGGGTGAAAGTTTACAGAGAAAATTGGTTTTCCATTTAGTAATTCATACACATTTTGTTTTGTGACATTGACTACAGTCCCCACAATGTAATAGTGCTCTTCACACTTCCTCCCTGTGGTTACTATTTTCCAAAGTCCTTCTTTCCTATCCGTTCATGCCTTCTGAGCTTTATCCCTGGGCACATGCTGCCCTTGATGTTTTTCTTAAGCATGATTTTCATCAGACTCATATTCCTCATACTAAGGTCTTTATTTTTGGAGTTGGAAGAATATTCGGAGAAAAGGAGGAATAAGTGCTCACTGGGGATAGAAAGTAATTCATTTAAAGATGATTTGTTTAGTGAAAAATTAGAAACAACCAAAATGTCCAAAAACAACAAAGAATCAGTTACTTAAATTATAGTACACCCACCTAATGAATACTATGAAGCCATTAACATTTTCTTATAGAATATTTTACACTGGAAGATGTCAAAAATTAATTGCCCAATAGAAATACACTTTGACAGGCATTACCATATATATAGTTTATCTGATTCATTTTGTCATAACAGCAGGCTGAGTTTTCTGATAGTTTTCAAATACTGTATTCTTAACTTTAACTGAGTTGAATGAAACATCTCATTTTGGTTCTCTCTGTCAAAACAAAATATTCACCTTTTCTCATTTTAGATTCGAATGCAGGCTCAAGGAAGCTTGTTCCAAGGGAGCATGATTGGCAGCTTCATTGATATATACCAACAAGAAGGCACCAGGGGTCTGTGGAGGGTGAGTACTCTTTGCTTGTATTGTTCTATACTCTTCAGTTCTTAGATTTTGCAAAGAATAATTTTTATATAAAGCCATTGTATTGTTAATTGTCATCTTATACTAGGTAAGATTCTTGGGGAACCCAAAACGTAAGGTAAGGAGTGCCTCATCACCAGTGTTACTGTTGTTAGTTGCTGTCGAGTCGATTCCAACTCATGGTGACCCCGTGTGTGCAGAGTAGAATCGCTCTATAGGGTTGTCAAGGCTGTGACCCTTCAGAAGCAGAGTGCAGGCCTGTCTACTGAAGAAATTCTGGGTAGAATTTAACTACCAGTCTTTTGGCTAGTAGTTGAGTGCTAAACCATTTGCAGCATCCAGTGACGACTCATCGCCAGTGAAAGGTCCAAGTTTATCAGTGGTCTTTATTTCTGTTTAATATTTGGGGATTGTATGTGTGGGAGAAGTAATTAAATTATTTGACATAGCCATCTTGATTTGTTCAACTTCATAGTAGATTTAGTTCTTCAGTATATTTTTTTGCCAGTTTTATACTAACACAGCAACATATGACTATGAAAGGCTTTGTAGTGCTTACGTCATTACCTGAAACATTTTTTTTTCACCTTATAAAAAAAATAAAAGATACACTATGAAATATTGAAAAAATACAAGAAAGTAACAAGAAGAGCATCCAATAATCTCACCACCTGAAGATAATCACTGTTAACATTTGTTACATTATCTTTCAGTCTTCTGTCTATACTTTGATTTTTTGTTGCTCTTCTTATTACTTTTTATCCTGTTTTAATCACTTTGAGCTCTGGTAGTATAGTGCCTAAGGCATTTGACTGCTAACCAGAAGGCTGGCAGTTCAAACCCACCAGCCACTCCTCGGAAGGAAGGTTGGGCAATCTACTTCCTCAGAAACCCAAGGAGGGGTCGCTGTGAGTCGGATCTGACTCCACAGCAGTGGTTGCATTTTTTTGTTTGTTTGTTTTTGTTTTTGCTTCTTATTACTTTTTATCCTGTTTTAATCACTTAACATACTAAATAAGACTAGTAGGGAAATAAGCAGACAGAGTGGAATAGGAAACCCTTTAATAGACTTTTAAATACAGGAGAGCTTTTTTTCCTTCCTTTTTAATTTCCCCCAACTTCTTATATGAATTTTATAACACAGAGAAAAGTTGAAAGAATAGAATAATGAGCACAGGAGCTCTGGTAGCATAGTGCCTAAGGCATTTGACTGCTAACCAGAAGGCTTGTGGTTCAAACCCACCAGCCACTCCTGGGAAGGAAGATTAGGCAATCTACTTCCGTAAAGATACCGCCTCAGAAACCCAAGGAGGGTTGCTATGAGTTGGAAACGACTCGACGGCAGTGAGTTTGGATTTTTTTGGATATATGCATCACCTGGATTAAATAACTATTAAAGTTTTGCCATATTTGCTTTTTTATATCTATATTTTTCCCTCTCTTTTTTCCTCATAATAAGGACATTTTTCTACATAATCACAGTACCATTATCACATCTAAGACAATGAACAATAAACCCCTCATATTCAATATCCAGTCCATATTCACATTTCCTCTATAGATGAGACCAGGTCAGTCCAGTTGTCTTATAGAATGTTTCTTCATGGTTTTTAACTTTCTCCTTTATTCCCTGTTTTTCCTGTAATCTGGAAGTTAGGTTTGCTGAAAATTAATGAGATTCATGTTGAACATTTTTGGTAGAGCTTCATGGGTGATACTGTTTTCTTCATATAGCATCACAGAAAGAAGCACATAATGTTAGGCTGTCCCACGATTAATGGCACCAAATTTGATTACTTGATAAGGTGATGTCCACTAGACTCTCCATTGTGAAAGCTATCTCTTGCCCTTTGCATTAGCAAGTAGTCTGTGGGGTGGTATTCAGGCAACATGCACATATCCTGCTCCCTAATAACTTTTCACGTTATGGTCCATTAACGATCCTTGAGGTTTGCTTTGTGATAACAGCAGAGTATAGTTTCTTGATTAGTTTAATTCAGAACCAGAAAATGGAATTAACTAGAACATTTTATAAACCAATGTTTATGAAAGACAGAGCAATAAATAGAATTAAAACTTTTTTAGAGGACTGTAGCTACTTTTATACTTGACTACCTACATGATCCCGGCACAGAACATAAAGAATTGAAGTACATTGCATTATGTATTCTTTAGACACAGACATATTTTGTTTGCATATTGAAAACACAGGAATATATTTTATTTCAACAAGGAAATATGGTGCATTATTCTTCAAACACATGGTCCTCCCAGTCTATATTTTATTTTCATGCTTTGATTATAACGTGAATACTGAAGACATTTTACTTTCTTCCTAACTCCATTGTAAGAAAAACCACATGAATATAATAACAATGGGTAAAGTGGCACTCGTCTCTGAGTTGGGGACACATCAAAGTAGTCGGGACCATGGTGAACCAGAGTGCATACGTTCTGTTTAAAGGGGACAGCTGCTCCTCAGCTCTAGCCCATTGCTGCCATGTACTGCTATAAACCCTGTATTGCCAAATTTTCTGGATTCTCAAGAGAAGGTGGACATATGCATTTCTATATGAGATACCCTGATTTGTTTACATGTTGACAACTAATTCAGCCTTCTAAAGACACTGTGGGTCACACAGAACATGTCTGTGGCCTAATTTCAGCCTGTGGGCTCCAGTTTGCAGCCTTACTCTTCACCAAATACAATCTTGTCTGAAGGTCATCCTTTTTAACAGAGTGAAGCAGGGAGTCAGGAAGGAAGGAACTATTCGACCAGCCAGCCAGATGAGTAGAATCAAGGCTCTCTCTTGATGAGCAGGGGGATGACAACACAGCTGCATCACCTTCCCTTTATAAATTGATTTTGAGAATTTAGAGATAATTGAACACTTTAAAATAAGTTATCCCAGAAAGCAATTGTCTCCATGGTATGTTATTTTCAATTTTAAAAGACATTTAAACATAATTATGAAAGTAAAACATAGTGAAAAATTTTTTAAACTATGTTGTTATGTGCTATCAAGTCGGACCCGACTCATAGAGACCCCTCCTTGGGTTTCCGAGGCAGTATCACTACGGAAGTAGATTGCCCCATCTTCCTTCC